CAACAGGCTGCAGGCTCACCATACCCACACTGCAGAGAGAGGGCTCAGGGCCTGTAGGCTGAAAGCTAGCCACCTCTGGAGCGGGAAGGGAGCCAGCAGGCTGGGAACCAGGGGGGCCAATAAAATCAAAGAGGAACTCTGGTAGTGAGCCCCACCGCCAGGGTTTTTCTACAGCCACATCGAGCGCGAACTTCAAAAAAAGCTGTTTGAGGCAGGGATCATCAGCCTCCTTCCAAAGTCCAAAGAAGTGAATAATGTGGTGAAGATATTGATACGAGTCCTCCTCCTCAAAAGGATTTATGGGAGATGCAGGCAATGAGTCCGGGCCAGACTCTGTGTCTGCTGGGTTCATTCTTGGCCGGATCATACTGTCACGGGAGGGGGAGGCGAAGTGGCGACTGGCAGAAACGTGCAAATGTAATATCTATGATCGGGCGTCTTGTGGTGGAATGAACCGAGTGTTTATAGGAGCAGTGGTGATAGTGTGCAGGTGAGTCCGAAGTTGCAGCTGAGGGTGATTGTCCTGATTAGAGCCAAGATGCACAGGGGCAGAGAGGGAGAGGCAGACAAGAGGGAGAAAAAGAGGGAGACAGGCAAGGGCTGGGGGGGTCATGACACAAACAGCCACAAATTTCCAGTACGAACTGCAACACTAAATCATTCAACTCCATCAATTTGAATGTGTAATGTTTCAATATGCTACTGAACTCGACTTGACTTAGCAAATATTTACCTGGTTTGCGTTGTCTCCATGTTCTGACTGTTTATATCCCAGCTAGAATTTCCTTCATTTTGAGGAAGTTTTTGCAAACGTTAGGTTATGTTTTTAGCGGGAAGTCTTTGTCTTAAAGTTAAGATACTGTTCTCTAAAGACTCTAAAGATTCTAACATTGGTTGGTGACAACACGATGAGACAATAAAGAAACTCATTATAAAAAAAAAATAAAGTTGGAGCTGAAACTACAGTTCCTGTGATTTTGTAGTTTTTATTCATGACGCAAAGATACAAAGGTCCTCCGAAAACGTGCCAACTTTGGACAGTTCGTTGGAGTTCATTAAGTTCATTCATGGACGTTTATTTTAAATTTCTAAATAAATCTGAAATTTAAAAAAAAAAGAGTGACTTTTAATAGTTGTCTTCTTCCTGTCTTTCACTGTCGCCGCTGGAGCTCCCCTTTAAAAACTACAAACTCCATGAGGCCACTGTGGCCCTTTAAGACGCGCAGCTGCTGACGCCACCTGACGTTCAACAAGCGCCACAACAAGGAAGTGAAACGCTTCAACCCGCCCGGAGAACCTCTGAGCAGATGTTGTCGCTGTAGTTCAGGTAAGCAGGGCTCCAAAAACACTCTAAGTCCGTTTATTCAATGCAATTATCTTCTTACATGGCTAAAATAAAGCGCTGTCATGTCGACGCTCACCTTTAGTGTGTAAACATGGCCACTGCAGCTGCTGGTTTCACTTTCTGGTTGGCAACATGTCAGCGCACACACGTACCGTCCACAACTTTATGTAAACTACGCAGCAGGAAAAAAGGCCACAGTGTCAGTGTTTGTAAAACTGCTGTTAGTGTGCGTTCTGTGGTAAATTTCGAACAGCTGCATGGTTTCAGGTGCTAAACCCGGTGTGGGTGACATGGAGGCCTGTGAGGCAGCTGGGAGCTCCACGGTGTTGTGTAGGCCATGATCACTGTGTGACAGGCTAATCTCTCTCTCTGAACTCTTCCTTATTGCACCTGAAGAAATCCTGGAGTTAGCCTCTTAAAACTCCCTTCAAGTTTTAGTTTGAAGTTGTCATAACTTAAAATGTTCTTGAGTAGAATTAATATCAACTTTACTTAAAGTATAGAAGTTATAATTATCAGTAAAAACGACAGACTGAGACGTGGTTTAACCTTTGTGGCCTGGGATTTGCTCGGATTGTAGTTTTTAATGTTTACTGACACATAATTTATGTTAAATAGCAACTTACTGTACTTGTACTAACATAGCCATGATGTTTTGTACGTTTATTGTTATTCAAATTTTGAGGCGGAATAATCAAAAGAATATCATTCAAGACAGTACAGACCTGCAATGTAGGACCGGTGTAATTAAGCAGTATCACAGCATTATTGAGTTTATGATATCTTCAGCTATTCGTGTTTTCAAATTACAAACTGTCGCACATCTCACACCGTCACAACTTTTAGTGTGTGAGTTGAAGTATCATTTATGGAAACAAACTGAATAAACAACATGTGGATATGAGAGTTTCAGCATAAAGTGTTAGACTTCAAAGGTATTTTAGTTTATAGGGAATTTTAAAGTGACTAATAGTTTTTTGGGTTTCTGGGTTTTTTTGTTTTGTTTTGTTTTTTTTAATTGCATAAACAAAAAAAGATGGTAAAACACTGTGTTAGAGATGTTAATAAGTCTTTATATGTTTTGTTTTTTAAATTTTACAAAAAAAATGCTGCATCCAAAATTAATTATATCCTCAATAATCAGTGGCAAAGCTCTTGTTTGCTCCTACAGCAACAAATTGCTGCCCGGTTTTTCTGCATGTCTTCACTGATGTGTTGTTCCGCTTGACTTCCATGATGCGAAGCGTCCTCTTCATCTCTCTGGTCTTCAGTTCCATCCACAGATTCTGGATGGGATTCAAGTCTGGACTCTGGCTGTACTGCTCTAAAATGCTCATATTGTTTTCTGTTAACCATTTCTTTACCACTCCTGGTACTTTTTATACACATCATCGTCTTGTTGAAAGTTGCAATGCTGCCCAAGACCAAGTATTTTCTGCAGACAATCTGATGTTTTCCTTTAGAATCTTATTGTCGTCCCTGTTTCTCATGATGCAGGTTACTTTGTCAAGTTTGCCTGGTCCGCTGAATGAAAAACTCCCATAAGGCATCACATTCCCACCACAGTGCTTTACTGTGGGGACGGTGTTCTTAATGTTAAATGCTTCTCCTTAACTTCACCAAATATTCGCCTCATCCCTGTGTTTAAACAACTTTATTTTCATCTTACCCAACCACAAAACTAACAACCAGACCTTTTCTCTTTTCAAATGATTGTGTATTACAACACTTTCAAACATGGTAGAAATTACCAGAAGCATTTGGAATAGCATAGAAATTATCATTGTCTAAAAACTGACTGACGTTTGAGTGGTTTGAATAAATAACATTATTAACAAAGTTCATCATTAACGTCTGTAACAAAATTTCTTACTATTTTTTTGCCACAAGTTTAGACCATTTCTTGGTGATATAAAAAAAAAATCCATTATAGAGCCATAAATTAGATGGGTGTGAATAATTTTGGGCTTAACTGTACATGTACTTAACTGCATCATTTACATTATGGAATAATCTGTAGTTTTACCACATAACCGAGTACCTGTTTGATGTATAAAAGCTTTAGAAATATAAGTAATACTTCACAATAAGTTACCAAACCTCAAGTTGGCATTCATGTAAAGTGCTTGTTTTGTCTGATTTAGCTGTTTATAAAGCCAAAGATCTTCAATTTACTGTGATATTAAACAGATAAAGTAACTCTCACTTGAAAAGCTGGACAAAGCAAATGTTTGGCACTTTATGTTTCAAATAATTTCCTCTAAATGATAATGTTGAATTACCAGCCACATGCTTTGAACCTTGACAGAGTGACATCCCCTGGTGTCTTATTCTCCATCTTTCACACTCGTCAAAGAGCTGCAATAAAATGATTTAAATGTCTTTAAGTGGTATGTATGCTCCTGTTTTTGTTTTTTTTAGGATGCCTGTTGAAAGTCCCGAGGAGAGGACGGTGGAGGTGCTGGAGCTACCTGCAGAGGTGGATGAGGAGCTGCTGTGTCTGTACTTTGAGAATAAGCGGCGCTCGGGTGGAGGTCCACTGGTAACTGTTGAGAAGAATGGTAACCGTGCTGTACTGGTGTTTGAAGAGGCAGAAGGCAAGTCACATGTATCTGGGACATTTTGAAAGTGTGGTCATATGCACATGTGATTTCTTAGCCTTTGGACTTCCCTGTTCCTTATCCAGTTATCTTAGAAACACACACACACATGTAGCTGTAACAGCAAATCAGAAAAGGACACCTGAGTAGTCTGCACGCGTTAGAGTTAGATTGTGTTTAGTATTTTATTCAGACATAACTTTAGACAGCCTTTGCTGTGCAGAGAGAAATGTCATCCTGCAAGTTCAAAGACTATTCATAAAAAAAAAAATGTTCTCCCTACAATGAAATAGGATCCTCTCTTAGCTTTCATGCTTGTAAACATCTTTTTTCTCTGTCTGCAGAACAAGTAGAAACAAAGTATTGCTGTGCTCAAAAGAAAACTCTAACCTGTGATGATGAATTCAGATAGCGCAGTAATTTGTCATTCATATACTGTATGCTAATTCTTTTGTTTCTGCTCCGATCATTTTGACAGCTGCGGCTCGAGTGCTATCTAAAGGGCACCATGTTCTGCATAATGTTGAGCTGAGTGTGAGAAAGCCTGCCACAAAGGACCGATGCAGACTGCTGCTGCGGGGGATCAACCCCAGCACCAGCACGGAGATGATAGAGCTCTACGTGGAGAACATGATGGGGCTGAATGTGAATGACTACATGCTGTATCCCTCGCCGGAGAGAGACTTAATCCTCATTCATCTCAGCCAACCCTTCTCAAAAGGTCTTTGAAATGCATATGTTTTGCTTTTTTTGTGTGGAAAAAGGTAGTGCTTTTTTTAAAACCATGCTCAGATTGGCTCTTCAGGTGGTGATGTTGGTCTGTCAGTTTGTCCAACACTTTGGTCTAAACTGAAATTGACTGTTTTGAAGAATTTAGACATTCATGGTTTTAGGGGGATGATCCCAAATAAATTTGATCCAAGGAGGTTTTCCTCTGTTGCTACAGCAGGCCAGTTAATAAATATTTGAACATCCACTGATGGATTGGCGCAAAATCTTGTTGTTTTTTGCAGTTCCCTGACAATGTATACAAAGGATGTTGATAATTCGTCCATCTCCAACATATTAAACTGAGACGGTTAACACGGTGAACAGTACACCTGCTAAATATCAGTATGGCAGCACTGTCAATGTGGGAATGGTAGCAGGCTGACATTGACATTTACCTCTAAGCATCACTGTGCCTAAATATATGCACAACATTAAAAAACACCTGCCTAATAATGTGTAGGTCCCTCTTGTGCCTAACTCATTGAGGCATGGACCTCTGTGGATGTCCTGTGGTATCTGGCACCAGGACATCTGCAGCAACTCCTTTGGGTCATGTTGTGTGCGCAGTGGGGCCACAGTGGATCTGGCTTGTTTTGTAGATCAGATGTGGGAAGTTTGAAGGTCACCTGTTGTGTTCCTCGAGCCTTTTCCCAGAAGTTATGGTGATGCAGCACGGGACATTGTTCCGCTGAGGGAGTTATATGCTGTTGCCAGGGGGGTGTTGTGCTTGTTCTGAACAAAGTTTAGGTGGGTGGTACCTGTCAAAGTCGCATCCAAATAAATACCAAGGCTTAAGTTTTCCCAGCAGAATATTGCAAAGTATTTACACAATCAGTTCTAGTTGGTGTAGCTTCACAGAGCTTTTAGCTTATTCAGGTTGTCATTTTGTTCATAGTGTATTTAATTTAATTACATTTTCTGTTTGTTTTATTTTACAGATTTTCAAACTATTAGCACAAATATCTCCAGGAGGACACTTGATAGCGCCAAGGTATCTCTGGAACAGCTTGAGGAAACGGACTCGGTGTTAGTGGAGAACCTGCACCCTGGCTCCACTCCAGACCTGCTCACTTTGTACTTTCAGAGTAAACGAGGTGGGGCTCAGAAAGTGAGGGAGGTCACCATGCTATCAGAGGGTACAGCAAAGGTGTCCTTTGCTAACTCTGAATGTAAGTTTTGCACTGCACAGCCTTTCAAACTCTGGTTGCTCCTTTACAGTTTTCTTAACAACAATGTCTGGATTTCTTTTCACAGCTGTGGGGTCTGTCCTGGCTCAGGCACACAAGCTGGATGGTGCTGATCTGGTAGTGAAGCCCTACTTCGTCTTTCTTCAAAAAAGTTCAGCATCGCAAAACAGTAACGATGGGGGCCAAGATGTGACTGTGAGTTCCTCTGAGGATCTAAATGATGTTCAGATGCAGACCAGTCCTCCCATTGTTGCCAGTTCCAGCAGTCACTCCTCTTGCCAGACAGACTTGGAGCCACTCGTTGCCCATGAAACAGCAAAACAGATGGCAGAGGAACTCATGGAGGATCAGAATGCAGATGCGGATCCACTATCCAGCCATATTGCTATTACAGACCCAGTGAAACATGCTTTGTTTCAACGCAGCACCGTTCAACAGGACTTAAAGAAGGCTAATCCAAATTTTACTATTGAGATGAAAGATGATGGTGTTTACATTGCAGGACCTGACAGGCTACAAGTGGAGCAGCTAAAACACACCATTGTGGAATTTCTTCGCAACATAACAAAGACTCATTTCACCGTCGAGCCAGAAAGGGCTCAGTTCCTTGCGAGAAAAGATGTAAAAAAGCGGCTCCTAGAAACCTTGAATCAAACCAGCTCACCTGCTGTGTACACCGTAACAGACTCCAAAGTTATGGTTATATCTGTATCGCAAAACTCTGCCAACCAGGCATGTAGCTTTTTAAAATCCCAAGTGTGTCATTTCTGCATGCCAGTGCCCCAAGAATACGAGTGCATGCTGTATTGCAGAGAGTGGTCTGAGTTCCTGCAGGCTCTGGATTTCTGTTCTGTTAAGGTGTCAGAACGAGGAGAGAATATTGATGTTTTGACTCTGAAAGGGATGGAGAATGAGCAGCAGTCTGCAATCCTGGAGTTTCTGACTACACCGATTGAAAGGGAGACAGTCATCTCTATGGAACCAGGCATGCTGAAATACATTCAGAACCATTGTCATCAGCTGCTGGCTGACATGGATCAAGTGTCTATTTTTCCACTCGAGGGTGGAGATGTTTGTGGGTTAAAGGTATGTGGCACGGCATGTTAAAACAGATTTATGACTGTAGTGATATAAAATCAGTTTATTCTTTTCTGCTAAGGGTTTGTTTAGTGTTTAGTCTCATAGGATTGTGTCATTAATGTGTTTCTTTTGATTGTGCCTGATAGATTCATGGCCATGCCGTTGCTTGCCAGATGGCAGAAGAGGTGCTGCAAGGTGTGGTCTCCTCTATCTGCACCAGAACCATCACAGTGAACGCTCCGGGAGTGGCCCGGTTTATGGAAGACGAGGACTGCAAAAGCATTCTGAAAGAGATGGAGACAAAGTTTCAGGTCTACATCAACACGAAGTATGTGCCTTGGCAGCCCCTGTCATACGAGGTAACGTAATGATGAAACCAAAAAAAACTTCTTTTTTTTTTTAATAGTTGGTGTATTTTTGTGCCTTTTAAAACTACAATGTGATTCTTCATTCCTTCATGCTCCCTCTCAGCTGGCTAGTTACACCAGATGTCATTCATGTTGATTGGCTGTCTACCTTCAGGCCTTATACAGTGTAGCCTGAGGCTGAGTTTACAGGCATACACAAGGCAGTCGAGCCCTTTTGTTCACTGTTTTTCTGAACCAGTCTTGCCTGCTGAATGTTTTATCTTTGGTGCACTGTCTTTTAGACTTTTTGCTTCGTTGTCAGTCAATAGGCACACACATAAATCGTGAAAAACTGTGAATATGTCCCTAAGTGCCACAAACATCATGCAATATTTAACAAAATATACCAGTGTCTTTTTCTGTTTAATACACTTGATGACATTAGCGCTGTTGATTTTCCGAAGCATTACCAGTTTGTTTAATTCACTCTGTGACATTTTAGTCACTGCTGTTGACAGTTAATGTTTGAATTTTATGAGTTTGAAAACTGAAATGTGCTTGAGATTGGTTTCATCTTGATTAAAATAACACATCATTTCTATGAGAAGTCTTTTATAGTACGAGAAGTTAGGATTGTTGAAAAGCTGGTGAATACAACGTCTTGTTGAAAATCATGTGAAACGTTTAAGACCAGCAGGTTTTTAATGCAAAAAAAAAAAAACTAAAAAACTACCTTATGTTCCATAGTGTGATTTATTTTTTTGCCCATGTTTTCACTTCATATTCAGCCGTATCATAGTCTGACAAAGAATGCTTTCCCTACAACAAGACAGAGCTTTAAAACCAACCCCTGCTTTACCATGAAGTAAAACTGTGACACAGAATTTATGGTTTGGCATGAACCTTGGCTTTAGAGTCACAGGCGAGTCCAGTGGCCTGTATAGAAAGATGAAAAAACGCTCCATGACATCACACACAGTAGCTTTGAAGCTCAGTGTGGTGTCTCCAGCCATCACTACCTTTGCAGTGCTTGATTCCTTCTTGCTCCCAGCTAAACAAAAATGAGTGACGAGCGTGAGCGAAGCAGGCCATGCAAATGTCTTGGGCGGGCCCTTAGCTATGCATGCCTTTAGACCTTAATACCATTTATATGGGTGAGTTATGAACAAATTCACTACTCATACAGTTGTTATTAGGAGGAAATTAGAGCTAGAGACCAAAACCATGAATGTATTTAAAGGTGCCTAATGGGCCATAATTCTTGCTGTAATAGTAAAGGCACTCTAAGACTACAAAAAAAAAGACTGAGGTGCTTTACTCTCAAGTATAAAATAAAAACAAATAATGTCCATTTAGACACATGCAACAGATTGATAAATAACTTAAAAATTAAAGGAAGCAGTGCGCTTGGACTTGTTGTAATCTGATATTTTAACTCATACTTTTCCTTTTCCTAACTGCCTGAAAGCAAGGCAAATATAGTTCCTAAAACTTTTTTTTTTTTTAATCCGCAATGGTGCTCTGCAGCCTTCACTGTTTGTAATTTTCTGGGTTAATTTACCATAATCAAATAATCCTTTAATGTTAAATATGTCTATATTAAAGTTGTCGTTGATTTACCATTAAGTTAGAATCTGCTGTTCAACATGAAAACTGCAGCAGAAGCTTTTGGTGTTTACAGAAACATTGTCTTTCTTATTCCAGGACTTTTTAGTAACTGGATGGAAGATGATGTCCCACCACAACTTTCAGAAAGTGCTGATGGATAGTTCTGTACAAGACGTAAAGTCCGATTCAATGCAAACTGAGCATAACGGAGCTTCAGACAAAGGTAGTATCTTCTTTCCTCACTGACTTATGTGCTTTCTGAGCAGTTTCAAAGTATGTGTTTACTTGTTTATAGGTCTGTTAGAGGAGGCAAAGAGAATCGTCTCATCCATTGATGACGGAGTGGAGGAGAGCGTGTCAGCTTCAGACCAGGTCGATGACATGGACGATCTGGACCTGTACACAGCAGAGGAACTGAGCACCGAGACAGACCAGGACTCTGACGTGACAGCTGTCAATGCTTCTGAACCGAATGCTGCGAGACCCCTGCTTAATGACGGTGCTGTGGCCCTTCCTAGCGATCTGGAAGAAGAGGCTCAACTGTCTTTAGCCATCCAGTACTCGATGGAGTCAAGCCATTGGTCCCTGGAGAATGAGGAGGAAGAGCTGAAAAAAGCTTTGGAGTTGTCCAAGAAAATGGTCCAAATTAACAGCTCTTCTAATGTGACTGAGAAGAGCCCTCAGGTGAACCAGCTGCAAAAGAGCAATGCAAATGATGCTTTTCGGCAAGCAATCAAGGATGCCAACACCCTCCAGATAGAAGTGTTTGCAGGGTATAGTTGTGACTTAATTCGGGTGGACATAGCTTTTGGTAAGAAGGTCAACCAGAGACAGGTTGAGGAGAAAGTGGAACACAGGACCTTAAGAAACCTGTCCCCGTACCACAGGCAGTGTCTGGAGGTGATCGAGCGGAAACATGCAGTCAAGGTTGAGATTCAGGGTAGCATAGTTACCATTTCTGGATTTAAGGACTTTGTGTACGGCGCAATGTGCGACATGAAGCTGCTGATGGAAAAAATCTCCAATTCTATCACCGACCGCGAAATCTTGAAGACCATCCAATGGGTGCAGCAAGACCCAGCCTCCTCAGACACGACTCCTTATTCTGCCGAAGCTACGGTATTCATCGAGAATGCTTTCAGGATGAAGATGGACAAGGTGGACATACTACTCGACAATCAGCCCCACATTATCAACTTTGAAAAGATGCAAGAATACAACATCGCTTCGGGGAAATCTGTGAAAATCTCCAGGAAGATGCTTGAATTAGAGGCACTGAACGAAGAATTAGCAGGTGAAGTAAAGTTTATGGTGTTCTAGTGATTGACATTTTCTGCAGAGTGACGTTCCTGTGTGTCAAAGCACAAAACTATTGTAAAAGACAAAGAAACAAATCAAAAATACGAATGAATATAATATTTTAGCTGGCCATGTAATGCTAAAAATATGAACTATCTACTTAAATCTTCTGAATAGCTTTAGGCTAGAAGGCTTTAGCAACATTTACTGTGATATATATACGTGCACATATTCCACAGCAGTGTGCAGTACAGTCTGTGGATGATTTCAGGCTAGAAAGGGTTGCTCATCGGTGTGTTTTTAGATAAGGTAGTGGGGGGGTTGTTCACTTATTGCAGGGTTTGCTGTTTGATCCTGATTCCTCCTGACCATGTGTGTCGCAACGCAAACAACTTGACAGCCACAACCATGAATAGTTAGATGCTGTCCCTTCCTAGTAGAGTGTTTTCCCAGTACCCTCCATGCTTGGCTTGTGTTTTTTTTGTGGAGGCAGGACAACCATGCCTATACATCACCAACTTTGCTATGAACTATGGGCGTGTCCCTCAGGAAAGTGTACAGATAAACAGACTTCCAGAAGGAGCACTTAATGGGGTCAGAATGTCTGCATTAGAGCCCTCATGCACTTGAGGGGCAGGTACAGAGGTACAGAGAGGGGCGTTACTTTAACTCATTAAAGGAGTATAATATAACCCTTAGGGGGCAGGGGAAAGTGTATCCCCAAACAGTGTCCTTGCATGTCACCTGAAAAATCTAAACACAAGTTCAAGCTGTAGTTTGAACACTGCAGATAGGATGAACAGCACACAGCATAGCAACAAAAGAAAGCTGTTCCCCTCTGTTTGGGTTCACTTAAACTCAAAATAAGCCTGCCGACTAGTTCCACAAACCTTTACCTGAACTTTGCCAATTTTTCATTGAGGTAGAAACGTCCTTTCATTTTCTATGAACAGCTCAAAGGTCACATGATATCTGTTGTGTTTTCTGAGTGCAGATTCCTCCACGTATTCCAAATTTAAGGTCACTGGAGCACACCGAGTAGTTTTATGTAGCTTACATTCCCTATTAAGCCAGTGGGGGAAAAAAAAAGAGTTAATTACATGTGATTAAGAAAATAAGTTATAAAAATTAAATAGATAAAATAATTTTCACAACTAAGGAGGAGCTCATGGGGGAATGTGTTCTCCATTTTACTTCTCTAAATAACTTTTAATAATATATATTTGCATATATTATAACATCTGATAATCGTTGACTGCCTGTTGTCAGTTTCAGGGCTCCGTATCCATGTTGACAAATGATATAACTGATAAAGAACAAATGTACTGATACCAAGTTAATCATTTGTTAACAGATGAGGAATACTCCCTGCTGTCCAACATGCCCGAAGCAACAAGAGTCGACGAGGAATCGGATGAATTTCAGAATGTGGTGAAGCGGTTCTATGAGAGCATACAGGAATACCACAGCAAAATCAGAATCATACAGGTGAAAAAAAATTAACTTGAGATATATATATATAGTAACTATTGTGGTGTATCTGTAATAATGATGAATGTTTTTTTTTTTCCCAGGTGGAGAAGCTGATGAACCGACTGCTGTACAACCAGTACAAGTTGAAGAAGGCGAGCATCCTGCAGCGTGCCACATACCCAGACATTGAACGGACTCTCTACCACGGCACGAGTGAGACAAGCGTGAAGGAGATCTGCATTCATGGATTCAACAGAAGTTTCTGTGGAAAGAATGGTATGTTTTTAACACCACTTTTGCTTACTCTCAGTCCGTCTCATCTTCTGCCATCTATTTCTAACGTTGTGTTTTTCCACACAGCCACCGTCTATGGTCGAGGCGTGTACTTTGCCGTCAACTCCTCGCTGTCTGTCCAGGAGCAGTACTCACCCCCAAACGCAGACGGATACAAGTATATTTTTGTGTCCAAGGTTCTAACAGGAGACTTCACAAAAGGCTGCCATTCAATGAAGACGGCGCCGCTGAAGGAGACCGGTGATATTCCCCTGAGATACGACAGCGTGACTGACGACATTACCAAGCCGTCGATGTTCGTCATCTTCAATGACACACAAGCTTTCCCAGAATATCTCATTACATGCCAGAGAATCCAACGCTGAGGAGGTTGATCAGTCACTACATCATGAACCAAATATTTGGAGAAAAGACTGATCATGTTTCTGTGTTTCTACCTTGATTTCTAAAGGGCTTAAAGCATGATCATCGGTTGTGTTCAAATTCTCATCAAGTACATCACTGTTTATCGATTCTCACTCTTGAGTTCTTCACTTCAGTCAGTTGTGATTAGAAAAATATCCCAAAAAGCAACTTATACACAGTATGTCCTTTACGGCCTTTACATTGGTGTGGCTCAGCAATTGTCGCATGATATCTCACTCGTCATAGCCAGTTTGGTTCTTGTTGGCATTGCTTACACACTCCGGTTGTTATTGTTCGTCTGTCTTAAACTTTCAAGCATCCAAATTATGTTGCGTGTATGATTTCAAGTCAAATGCAATTAATCTGTCCTACATAGTACTTCTTTGCAATTCCTTCGCTGGCAGACAGCACTAAAGCTGTCTGACTGCTTCAACCAGTAATACCAGTTATGTTTTGTGTACCATTTGCAAAACTTGTGATGGTTCTTGATTGTCATCTTCCAGTTCAGCTATTCTTTACGTAATGAAGTAAGCACAGGTGGCAGAATTTGTGGATATTATGATTACATTATAGTGCCTGTTTCATTTTTTAAAGTGCTCTGATCTCTGAGGCAAATCTTCTGATTTGTTTAAATCTGTGACTACTCGCAAGGAATGTGTTGACCATCGGTCTCTGCTGTTGTTTTTAATTTTGATTTTATTACAAATTCTACAAAAAGCAGTGGTTTTGTAGCATTGCATTTTCGTCTTTTACTTGTTTTTTTTGTTGCTGTTTTGTAAGAAAACATGAACTTGCAGTCTTAAGAGAGATCACGATGTTTGTATGAAAAATAAAGCTTAAAATGAGAAACGTTTAGAAGTTCTTTGGCAAAAATGTAGTTTTAGTTTTGCTCGCGACCAATCCTTAAAATGAGAATATCCTTCAATCTTCATTTGGAATAGGTTTTATTTATAAAGCAACAACTCAGCATGTTTTTGGACTGTGTGGGAGGAACCCGGAGAGAACCCACACTGCACGGGGAGAACATGCAAACTCCACGCAGAAAGATCCCGGGTGTCCTCACTGGGACGCGGACCGGCGACCTTCTTGCTGTGAGGTGACGGTGCTACCCACCACGAAGACCTTACATAATAGAAACCAATAAATCGAAAGTATTCCCTGAATTCCCTTTAAGCAAACACTTGCAACTGTGGGGAGGGGGACAAAAAATCCTCCTTCATGGAAAGAAATCACCAGCAGCACCAGGCTCAGGGAGGACAGCCATCTGTCTCGACTGGTTGGGGTGAGGGTAAAGGGGAGAGAGAACAGGATAGAGAATAGACAACAAGAGGCACAAGATAACAATAAACACTTTGGAGGTCGGTGAGGCCAGTGGTCAGCTCCACAGTGAGATACCTGCAGAGAGAATAAAACACAAAGTACAACAGAGAGAAAAGACAAAGGTAGTGACATGCAATGGTGTTGTGTAAATGTATAGAGAAAGAGACGTGAGTAGAGGAGAGGTGTGGGGGGAAGGGAAGGAAAACATAAGAAACAAAAGGGGGCGTAATAGTCAGCAATACGAGTTTGTGTTTCATTTGTCACCAAATCCAAACAGAAACTAAAGAAGGGCAGAAGAGGAACCTTTGTCATCTATGCATGAAGGCCAGATGGAGTGGAAAGGAGTGGCAAAGGGAATGTAGGTACGTTAAAGACAGGAGAGGAAGGTGACAGAATAACAGCTGATGAAAGCAACATAAAGACAGAAAATTTGAAAGGTTTGTAGAAACAGAGGAGAGAATAGAAAACAATTTGAAAGCAGAGGAAGGAGGCAGATGGAAAACAAGTGTGACGATGAGGAGGAAAATAGAAAGGCAGAAGTGAGTGTTTCAGTGGAAAGGGAAACAGGTGGAGGAGTAAAGGAACAAGGGAAGAGAATATGAAGTGGAGAATCAGGAATGACGATGAAAGAAAAGGAAGGAGATGATGGACTGATGTATTGTTGGTTAGAAGACGAGAAATGAAAGAGTGCATAGTCAAAGCAGGGAAGAGAAATATGGAAAGGGGGAGGTGTAAGTGTAAAGGACAGCAGCAGAATTGCATGAGGAAATATGAAGGGTGTGTTGTTAAGGAGGAAGGAGGGTAAGAAATGAGGAGAGAGAAAATGAGAAGGCAACAATGGCAGTTAGAGATGGTGAAGGAGAGGAAGAGTGGCGAAGGAGGGAAGGAAAATGACAAGAGGATGGTGAAAAGATGGAAGATGGAGGGTGGAGAAGTAAAGTATGGAAGTTAAAAGAGCTTTAAAAGAAGAAAAGTGGAGAAGGGACGAGAGAACAAGTTGACAGTTGCAGAAAAGAAGATGAGGATGAAGGAGATGACAGAGATGAAAAGAGGAAGGGAAAATGCTGATGGAAGACAATGAAGAGATGTGGAAAGGTAGATGGAGATAAAAGACACATGAAGAGAAGCAAATGAAAGAGAGAAGGAGACGAAAGACAGAGAAATGGAGATGAAGTGGAGGGATTAGAGGAAATACATCAAAGTTGAGTACAGATTATTAAAATATGAAGGGAAGGGGGAAAGGAAAGAAAATAAGAATAAATAGGGCAGAAGGGTTTACTGGAAAATGCATAAAAAAGAGAGGAAGGGTGGAGATGTGGCAGAGTAAGGTCTGACAGAAGCAAAAGTGAATGCATTTGCGAGAGGTATGAAGATGAAGCAGAGGAAGGGAAGACAGCTGAAGAATGGAAGTGAGGATGGATGGGTGACTCCAGGGGATTAAGGATGGAAGAAGTAAATGGGTAAAGGAAGGAGAGGAAAGTTGAAAGAGAGAGACGCATGAAAGTTTCGATAGACCGCAGAAGGAAGATAAAGGAGAGGAAGGGTGAAGGTAAGAGATGAAGGAAAAGAGAACGAGGAAGCGGAAATCGGTTCTTATCTGTGTTCCAGTGAAGTCCCACCAACAGCAGCAGCACTGCGTTCTGTCACCATCTAACTTCTACTGGAGGCTCCACAACGTCCTTTAACTCTTCACTGCTGAGGTAAAAGCTGGAGATCAGAAGGCTGCGACTCGTGACTTCAGGTGTCAGATCTTGGGAGGGGAAAGGGGTTCAGGGGGAAGTTTATTATATTTCACTTTACTACATTTATTTGATTAATTTATGTACTAGTTTTAATAAAAAATAACATTTTTACAAATAAATTATGTGAAGAGCCGATGTGATGTTTTGTCACTAATAAAACTGCCCAACGGTAAATACAAGTGTGTTTTAAGAAGTGACGTAAAAGAGAATACAGAATTAGCCGACCTGATTTATTTGGGCAGGTCATTCCAGAGCCTTGGTGCCCGGACTGAAAATGCTTTGTCCCCCTTTGTTTTCAGCCGGGCCTCTGGGACAGTTAAAAGACCTGTGAGAGGTTTGCTCTGGTCACATGAGCAAATCTCACCTTGTTTCTTCTTCTGTGTCTGCTGAACAAAGAGGTTGCAACCAACAAAGAGACAGATCCCAGTGGCAACTATAATAATAATAACAATAATAATAATAATAGTAATAATAATAAACAATAAAATGGTTCACAATCAGCATCAATGCGAGAAACACTGTTACTTCCTCTGACATCCAGGTGACACAAACACCACGGGTCCTAGAAGTGCCGTCCTGAAGGTGATCAGCTGGTGCATTCGAGGGCGGAGCAGCTCTGCAGCAACACACAGGTGACCAGCGTTAGGTAGTGTGATTAAGCATCACTGCAGCTGATGCAGGAAATGTTTGCTGAAACAAAAGTAACAAGTCGTTTGTATGTCAGGGAAGAAACGTCGCAACCTATGGAAACATTCAGGAAAAGTTCAGCATGTACAGACAAAGAAATGCAGTTTGACCACTTACCAGGTATGTTGTATTTGCTTGTTGCATTTTGTAGAATTAACCGAACTATACCAACATGGGTTAATGATAAAAACGTAAGTATTCTCCAGCTGATTGTTTAACTTTCTGTGGTTTTAAAGTTAGTCTGAAAATCAGAGCATCATCTGACTACATAAGAAATAAGTGCTTTCAAATTATATTCCTGTATCTAAAACCAATTTCACTGAGAGGATGTCAGGTTTTTCTTTTATTTCCCCCTTTGGTGAAAGCTGTGAATACCTCAAGCAAGAAGGAAAAGAAGAAATTGTGTAGTTAACTGTAGGGGGCAGTAATGTGCTTTGGAGCAGGTGTTGTGTCAGAAATTGCAACAAATCAGAAGAAGACCAGCGCAGGCGCACTGACAACCACAACACAACTAGCTGCCAGTTTACCTGGCTAACGGTTAACTAGCTTAAGTTACTATTTTACAAAATATGACCCGCTAAATGTGAGCAGAAGAAGACATATTAAAGATACAAAGTCAGGTAACCCGTAGGAAATAGGTACGTTTACAGGTTTAAATGCATAATTTGTCAAAACGTGTAAAAATCGAAGTCTGCTGCTAGTGCCATACCGTGCTAGCTAAGATGCTAGCTGCCAATAGGAACATTAGCACGTTGCTAACACCGCCAACCGGCGTTTTCATACATTCATGACATGAGGCTAACTGTTATGCTAATTGCATGTCCTATAAGATAAGATTAGCGCTTTGAGTGAAAGTTAACAGCTAAATTGCCCCACACAGTCTAACGCTGCCGTTACGCGTGGTAAATTATATGCTAGCTAGTGCTTGTTAATCTTGGAAGCATCTTTCAGCTTGTTACATGGCACGAGTTTTAAAAGTAGCGCTTAAACTTGCTGTATTGAACAACCACCGGTCACTGTGTCATCATATACTTACATATGCAGTCTGTGAGGGCAGTAGACAAGGTGTTTACCAGAAAAACAACCTAGTTTAATGAAACTGTACCATTTATTTCACGTTGCAAATAGAGCATAGCACAAATTTACTAGACTGGTTAAGCCTTACTTTAATGACCTTACTGTTCTTTGTGAAATATAAAATGGTTTGTTTCTCTCATGCAAATTACTTCTTTTATCCCGAGCGTAATCCATTGTAGGACTTTATTCTGGTATCATGTAGTTAGTAATTTCAAGTAAACATTACCTGTGTTGCATTTGCATGTTTCCAATTCTTTGCACAACCAAATCCAGCCTCTACTTGCTGCTTGCCATTGTAGTCTACAAACACCAGACCATGAACATTTAATTTGATAACCCTAGAACATTTAATTTTCATCTTTGTTTTTGTAATTTTGAACGTTGCAGTAAGCTAGGATAAGATATGCCTTTATTTATCTTACAGTGGAGAAATTCACGTTGTTGTTGGATGGAGGGTTGTTGACAAAGCACATAAGGAAGTCTGTGTTTGTCTCATTTTAAATAACTGACAGAGTGCCTTCACCCCTCCTGATAGTGTGTGATGTGTTAAATTAGGACCCATAGCAGACATGAACTCGGTAAATAGTTCCACGTTAATATAACGACATGAACAGAATAAGGTGCTTTTTGATTGAAGACCCAAGTACATTGGTATTTTATGAATAAAAGCATTAATTAAAACAAAAATCAAAGTTCTGAAGACATTCAAAATAAACTGATTGCCAAAAATCATGAAAATAGAATGAAGCACCTGTGATATAGGATAAGATGTATTTGTTTTGTGTCTGCAGGCAGCCCAGTAAGTGAGATGAATGTTAAATAACTAGATTTTTGTTCACCATTGTTTCAAAGTGCTAGCCACACCTGTTTGCATTTGAGGAAGACTTTTGGAGAGAAAATGTTCAATTTATTGTATGTATTTAAACTGAACAGTGGAAAAGTGATATGAGACGTCCTGACATGAATCCTTTCACCTGTCAGATGCTGAGCGCAGCCTTCCAGGATGTATGCTGTGTACAGACAAGCCCACACTCCCACCGCAGTGGAGTTTTCTGTCTACTGCAACTTTATTTCCAGTAAGGAGAAGAATTTGGTTGTTGCTGGAACCTCTCAGCTGTTTGTCTACAGGATCATCCATGATGTGGAGGTAAATGTAATTGCCAGCTGATTTGTTTCTGTGTGCCAAATTTTAAAAATCCAAGCATAAAAATGTTTTTATGTTATTGTTTCAGAGTACATCAAAGGCTGACAAGTCCTCTGGTTTGTCTAATTGTCTTAATTTAAATATATATTTTACTGCAGTTAAAGTAACAATTAGTTTTTTGCTGAGACTTGTCTCTTCTTGTACAGATTCCAAATCCCGTAAAGAGAAGCTGGAGCAAGTGGCATCATTTTCTCTCTTTGGCAATGTTATGTCAATGGCCAGTGTGCAGCTTGTAGGAGCCAACAGAGATGCACTCCTTCTCAGTTTCAAAGATGCAAAGGTATCATTGTGTAAACAGCACACGGTTTAAGAAATTTTCACTACGTAAAATTGTTTTTCACTGACCTGATTGTTTGTTGTCTCACAAGTTATCAGTCGTAGAGTATGACCCTGGGACACATGACCTCAAGACACTGTCGCTTCATTTCTTTGAGGAGCCAGAGCTCAGAGTATGTAGAAACAAAAATACACTGGAGTAAATGTTGAAATGGACAAATTAAAACAACTGGTAATCTAAGTTTTGCTCTTTTCCTTGTTTTTCAGGATGGCTTTGTACAGAATGTTCATATTCCCATTGTTCGTGTAGATCCAGAGAATCGCTGTGCTGTAATGCTTGTTTATGGCACCCAGCTCGTGGTGCTGCCATTCCGCAAGGACACACTAACTGATGAACAGGAGGGTGGAGTTGGAGAAGGGTATGGCTGGAGTTTACTATTCTTTCTGCTTATTAATGTTGTTTAGTATCTGGTGGACACCTGTGTTAACAAATGAAACACTCCCTCTTTTTTCTACATTAACACCATTTGTATGTGTCGCCTACAGACCGAAATCCAGCTTCCTACCCAGCTACATCATTGACGTTCGAGAGCTGGACGAGAAGCTGCTAAACATCATTGACATGAAGTTCCTCCACGGCTACTACGAACCTACGTTGCTTATTCTGTTTGAACCCAATCAGACATGGCCAGGGTTAGTCCATCAGCTGCAACAGCAACTTAATGTCTTTATTTGATGCTCTGAGCAGCCATTTTTTAATTAAACCTTTGTTGTGTGATCTCTGTTCCAGGCGTGTGGCTGTGCGTCAGGACACTTGTAGCATTGTCGCCATCTCCCTCAACATCATGCAGAAGGTTCATCCTGTCATCTGGTCTCTCAGTAATCTGCCTTTTGACTGTACACAAGTCATGGCTGTTCCCAAACCCATCGGTGAGCTCACTGGATTCTCTTTTGTTGCTCCCCTGAGCAGTGTGGTTGCTAAGATCTCTCAAGTCATGTAAATTCATGCACTTTGTGGTAATGGGTGTTGTGTTCCTACAGTGTGTGCGTTTCAGCTTCTGATCTATCAAATATTTTTAGGTGGTGTTGTGGTGTTCGCTGTGAACTCATTGCTCTATCTGAACCAGAGTGTTCCACCATATGGAGTTTCACTCAATTCTCAGACAGCTGGGACCACAGCCTTCCCTCTGCGTAAGCATTTAAACACGAAACCACACTCTTGTACTTGTATCTTTTTATATGTGCCACATTATGTTAATACTATTTGACATTTTTTGATGCTCATCGCTGGATGATGTGTTTTGGTTCTGCAGGGGTACAAGATGAAGTGAAGATCACACTAGACTGTTCTCAGTCTGACTTTATTGCTTATGACAAGATGGTCATCTCACTGAAAGGAGGAGAAATGTAAGTTTTTTGTAATTATCACCACAATGTATTTGAACCCCGATGACAGTGTATGATTGTTCACTGGCTGTTGTTGCCCTGCAGTTACGTGCTGACGCTGATAACCGACGGCATGAGGAGCGTGCGTGCTTTTCACTTTGACAAAGCTGCTGCCAGTGTCCTGACAACCTGTGTAAGTTATGCCTTTAACTGTGAACAGTATTGGTCTGATAATCCAGGACAGTCCATTTCTTCTGTGTTTCTGTGGACAAACCCATAGAGCAGGAGCAATTAGGTTAGGACTGATGGGGGTTTTCGAAAATGTGTACCATATTTTAAATTTAAAGCTGCAAAACGCTAGAAAAAAAATGTTCAGACAGAATCTAAAAGTTATAGATACTGGTATTTGACTGACCTTTTAAGATGTGAAGTAAATATTGAATAAACGTTGCACTTTCTCCATCAGATGGTGACCATGGAGCCTGGCTACCTTTTCCTGGGTTCCCGCCTTGGAAACTCTCTGCTCCTGAAGTACACAGAGAAGCTGCAGGAGACGCCAGCAGAGGAAGGCAAAGACAAGCAGGACAAAGAAAAAGAGAAGGAGAAAGATAAGCAGGTGAGTTTGTGTTTGTATAAACTGTGTGTAAAAGTTGTGGAGATTTCAATACAGCCTGTTATTGTGGAAAAAAATATTGAATAGGCTTGTTTTTTTTTCCTACAGTGCGAGTTCGAGAAATTAATTTCCATATGACACTTGTCAGTCTTTGAAAGCTCACTGCATTTGAAAGGATCTTTATTTCCTTTGATAGCTTTTCCATGAAAATTGTCTTTTTACTTCATCACTGTTCATGACTTCTAGGAGGAGCCACCCAGCAAAAAAAAGCGAGTAGAGTCTTCTACCAACTGGACGGGTATGTTCATTGTTCGTTATTGTTATGTGCCAGTATATTGTGTGTGTGATGTGTCAGTTTGTGCTACACCTGACTTCTTTGTTTGTCAGATGAGGTGGATGAAATAGAAGTGTATGGCAGTGAAGCCCAGTCAGGCACTCAGCTGGCCACCTACTCCTTCGAGGTAAAGAAACTTAAAGTGTAACTCCTATTTTTATGCATCTTGTAGATTTCTGTGCACATAGACAACAATGGAGGGCCTTTGTTTTTTTTTACAGGTGTGTGACAGCATACTCAACATTGGACCTTGTGCAAATGCCTCCATGGGTGAACCTGCTTTCTTGTCTGAAGAGGTATAGACGTTTGAAAGACTTTCAAAACTCTTCTGCTGATGTTACACCAAAGAATTGCATGTTGTAGTCATTCACCTTTATTTCTTTTCAACCCACAGTTTCAGAGCAACCCTGAGCCTGACCTGGAGGTTGTGGTGTGCTCCGGCTATGGCAAGAATGGGGCACTGTCTGTTCTTCAGGTATATCCTCCCTCCTGAGTTGGTCTGTTGTTAGTTTGTTGTATGCATTACTGCTCTTAATGCACAGTCCTAAAACCTGTGGTGGCGAGGGCCGTCTGCCACAGGTCCTGTGACAGTGCTAAAGTGAATTCTGGGTCTACCAGGGCTGCCTCAGAGATCGACGGAGTAGCCTGTAAACACCCCAGACACAACTTCTTAACTTCATTAAATGCACAGATTGAAAACTTGTGTGAGTCACAACACTAGAATCAAGTACTATTTTTATCCCCTCGTTTTTTATGCTTTAATTTGTTTCCACTCTGTTCTCAGAGAAGCATTCGACCGCAAGTCGTCACTACTTTTGAACTGCCGGGTTGCCACGACATGTGGACAGTCATCTCAAGTGAAGTCAAGGAAGAGAAAAAAGTACTGTTTATTATTAGAAGTTTCACATTTTCTGTCGAATCAAGGCTCAAATTGTTCTGTCGTTTTATACAGTAAAACGTTTATTGACGCTTTTCCAGGCTGTAAAAAGTGATGATTCAGAGGATGGAGCAGACACTGAGACTGGTGAGGATGGTGAAGAGGGAGAAAAAGACGAGGAAGCGGAGAAAGAGGAGGACAAGAAGACAGAGCCTCCTTTGGAGGATGATGCGAAGAAGCACGGCTTTCTTATTCTCAGCCGAGAAGATTCAACCATGGTAAAAACACATGTCAACGCACTTTGTTGTGGTTAGGATTTCTTTGATCTAAAAACTGTGTCAGATACTCTTTTTGACTTTGACCACCCCTGTGTTTCCTTGTAGATCCTTCAGACAGGTCAGGAGATCATGGAGCTGGACACCAGTGGTTTTGCCACTCAAGGACCCACTGTGTTCGCAGGAAACATTGGTGACAACAAGTACATCATTCAGGTCTCCCCCATGGGCCTACGTCTCCTGGAAGGAGGTAAAATAAGTGATAAGTTTGATTGTTTTTTTTAACTAACAGCAATAGAATTAAACGAAAATAGGTATGTGTCAGTCAGTTGTTTTAGCTTATGTAATATATTCAAGAGCCCATATTATGCTTTGTGTGTGTGTGTGTGTGTTTTGTGCATATAAAGGGAGGGAAACAAAGTCACAGAAAACTCTGCTCCTTGTCGAGTTGCTAGTTTGGCGACCTTCAAAGGCTGAGCAGTTTTGTTGCAGTCCACCATTATTCTTCACTACAGCTGCTTCTGCTAGGGCTGCGTCTCCCCACCTGTAGTGACAGATCTAAGAGGTGAACGAAAAAGCAAGATTAATAGGTAGTCGGGTATGTTTAGCCTAAAGTCACTTGTCAGTTTCAGGATGGTGGCTTTCTTTTAACGTGGCTAGAATCACCATGTTGCTCCACAGTTAACCTGCTCTGGGGAAGGTTAAGTATCATCATCACCCTTTAACTAAATCTTTTCCTGATGGTTCTCTATGAATGATACAGGTTCTTAACTGTTTGAAGACCAGCTAACGATCAGAGCAAAGTGATTTGGGATGGGGCCCTAAAGAGACAGGTGCTAAGTCACAGCTTTTCAGACAGAGGGTGAAAAGAGATGCTGCAGTAATGTACCGTATGAGGCAATGGGTTTTTTTGAACATGAAAGCATGTAAACATAATCTAGAGAGCCTACAAATACAATTAAATGTGCATAATATGGGCACCTTAGGTAGAATTATGTTCGCTACAGTAATATATATATATTACAGTGTTTCCATCTTTTTGTGCAATAGTAGTAGAATTGTTGTAGTAATGGTACTGTTGTCTTAAAGAACTTGTTTTTTTTTTTTTTAAATGAATCCTGCTTTCAGTGAGGCAGCTTCACTTCATCCCGGTGGACCTGGGCTCTCCCATAGTGCATTGCTCTGTGGCGGACCCTTACGTGGTTATCATGACTGCCGAGGGAGTGGTCACTATGTTTGTGTTAAAGACTGATTCGTACATGGGAAAGACCCACCGACTGGCTCTGCAGAAACCACAGATTCCCACTGTGAGTAAAACACACTCACCTGCCTTTTTTAAAATGTATTTATTTTTATTATAGGGATTTCATTTGACACACTCGCCCCTTCTTGCCAAACCAAAGCTCATAGAAAAAGGTTGGCAAGTTGACAAAATTGAATGTATTGCTTTAATAGTAGTACCATGCAAATCCAAAGCATCATAACCCTATCTTTTAGAAAGTATATTAGGAAAAGGTACATAAATAGCTTTTAATAATATTTTGTTTGTTTTAAACTGCCTTTCATTCAACAGCAATCTCGCGTAATCACACTGTGCGCGTACCGAGACGTAAGCGGGATGTTTACCACAGAAAACAAAGTGAGCTGCTCCATTAAAGAGGACAACATCACCCGCGGTCAGTCTGAGGCTGAGACCATCATCCAGGACCTCAGGTAAGAATTCACTTCTCTTCCACACTGGCACATTCAGCCAGCTGCTGCACTTCATTCTTGTGCTGATTGTTGTTACATGTGTGAGCAGCAACACAGTGGACGATGAGGAGGAAATGCTCTATGGAGACTCTAACGCCAGTGCAACGCCCGCAAAAGACGAAGTCAGCCGCAGCTCTGTGGCTCCAGTGCCTTCCACAAGTGAGACAAGCTCCACCAAAGCAGAGCCCACCCACTGGTGCATCATTATCAGAGAGAACGGCGTAATGGAGGTAAGATGTGTACTTGTTTTCAAATGGAAGGGAAAGAGAATTAAAGGTTGATTTCTGGTTGTTTTTGAATATTACCTGTGCTGATATCTACTTGACGACTATCTTACATGTTATCAGAAGGGGAAATAAACCTCCTGCATTCACCATAGTGCGTTGTTGTTAATGAGGACTGACATTTCTTTTTCCTATATGCTGATATGTGTGAAAATGACAAGAAAATTGACCCTGAACATAAAATAAAAAGAATCTATGCCATTAATAATAATTGACAGGAATGTGTTTTTCTACACTCAACTGTTTTCATTATTTCATTCATCAGATTTACCAGTTGCCAGATTGGCGATTGGTATTCCTGGTGAAGAACTTTCCGGTAGGCCAAAGAGTGCTGGTGGACAGTTCCTCTGGCCAGTCCGCAACACAGGGGGAAGGTAAAAAGGAGGAAGTGACCCGTCAAGGAGAGATTCCATTAGTCAAAGAGGTGGCTTTGGTTTCTCTTGGCAACAATCACAGCAGACCGTATTTGCTGGTAAGTTTTCTACTTTGAGGCCTTTTAGGTAAACTTCATTAAAGTTGTCATTTGTGTTTTACAAGAATGAAGCGCTTCATGAAAAGAAAACTGAGTTAAAAAAAGATTTGATTTGAAAATGTTTCCTTGCTTACTAGGTCCATGTGGAACAAGAGCTTCTGATCTATGAAGCGTTCCCGTACGATCAACAACAACCGCAAAACAACCTGAAAGTCCGCTTTAAAAAAGTAAGAGCTGGGACTGGTAGAAGTGGACTACATCAAGCCAAATTTAGATGAAATCAGTCTTAACTGTGTTCCTATAATCTGCACAGGTGCCCCACAACATTAACTTCAGAGAAAAGAAATCAAAGCTTAAAAAAGATAAGAAGGCAGAGAGCAGCGCCACTGATGACAGTCTAGGGGCGAAGAGTCGGATTGCCAGGTTCAGATACTTCGAGGACATTTCTGGATACTCAGGGGTAAGGAAGCCATTTTTAAAAAAATCTGAGATGAGAATGTTATTCCAAAACAAGATTGTTCTGACAGTACATCCTGTCAGGTGCTCTTTCATTAGCCATGTGACGTTCCCTCTGTGTCGCAGGTGTTTATCTGCGGTCCGTCTCCTCACTGGATGTTGGTCACCTCTCGGGGAGCGATGAGGCTTCACCCGATGACCATCGATGGCTCCATCGAGTCTTTCTCCCCCTTCCATAATATCAACTGCCCCAAAGGTTTCCTCTACTTCAACAAACAGGTGCACAGAAGACACATTATCACTTTGGTGGTAATGCATGTGTTGATTTTTTATTTGTGTTCCAGATGAGACAGAAACCAACTTTATTGACTTGTTAAATAAACAGAGTTATTAAATAATGTAGATGAGATTCCACACAAGTAGTGATATGATTATTATTATCCTTCACCAGAGGTTTTGTCTTTTAGGCTTTCAACTATTACAAGAATACAAATGGAGAGACCCTGTTTCATGGCCATTCAGGATGTAACACTCTCTGCAGAGAAAATAGAAGCGAACTACTTAACACCTTCATATCTGTTATCTGAGGCTTATGAAAGCAGTTTAAGCAAGGCAGAAGCAGAATAGAACCATTGCACATTTATGGAAATGCAGTTCTAAAAGTTATATATTTTTTTATGGAAATCTATTTAATCTAGTTTTCATTTCCTTGACTCTGTGTGTTCTCCCACAGGGCGAGCTAAGGATCAGCGTCCTGCCCACCTATCTGTCTTACGATGCCCCGTGGCCAGTCAGAAAAATCCCACTGAGATGCACCGTCCACTACGTGTCCTACCACGTTGAGTCCAAGGTAAGCCTCCTCTGACTAAGCCCACACAGCACCGGAGGCACCCAAGTGGCGACATGTCATAAAATTCAAGCCAAAACACATTCCCCGGACACCTCACACCTCCACTTGCATAACACGATGCAAAATAAAAGCATATCGATCGAGCCCCTTTGAAAAGTTTGAGATGAAAGCCTGCTGGCCTTGAAGTTTTCTTACTGTGAAAGAAAAAAATCAATGAGGGTGACTTTGAAGGGATTAGTCTTTGATGTGAAGTTTTTCTGTGTGATTTTGGATTTTTTATTTATTTTTCTCCCCTCTCAGGTGTATGCTGTGTGCACGAGTGTAAAAGAGCCCTGTACTCGCATCCCCAGGATGACTGGAGAGGAGAAGGAGTACGAAATCATAGAACGAGGTCAGATGTCAAACACACCTGTTGTTTATATCATAAGGTCCCAAACTTTAGATGTACACAAGTATCCCCACATCACTGCAGTTTGCCGTGTACCAGACGTGTTCTTATGAATAGATAATTATATTTACAATATTTTTTTCATACAGTTGAGTCCTAAATGTTAAGAATGTAGTCATCTTGATGATGATGGACATTTCAACTATTTATCATTTAACTGTTTCTACTGTTAACAAACTACCTAGCATCTGTGACTCTTTTATTTTTAGTTTTAGCTTCTAATTCCACTATTTATTCAATCAGTTTTAATTTGCATGATATTGGGGAAAATGGTATTGTGATAGTTTATCTGCAGTGTATAGTGCAACATGGAAAAAAACAGCTTAGTACATGTAGCATGTGTATTCCTCACCAACTACAAGCTTTAATCTGAGGACAAAGCATTGCAGCCTCGTCCACTTGTTGAGCCACTATGCGTTGTCAAGTCTTGCCATCTTGGTCTATAGGTGCTGCTTTACTGCGCAACAAATACACAATGATACAAACGCTAATACCTGAGTAAACGTGGACCAGTGCTGTTTATCTTGTATTATTTGATAAAATCTTCAATTTGCAACCATCAAAACACGAGTCAGCCGTCATCATGTTCACCTCATCTGTTGTATTTCATGTATTACACAAACATGACGTTTCCTCAGCAAAGCCCCGTGCAGCCAACGCTTCTCATCTATATGATAATCTGGGAAAGATTCTGTACACGGGAAGCCACTTTTCAAATGGAAGTTGTCATTAATAAAGTGGACGTAAGATTTATGCAGGGCTCCGCTCTCCAGCTGGACTACAAATCTGTTGTAACTGCATGATATTCCACAGACAGCTTGTGCCTTGCATTTTTCATACAGTTCTGGGATGGCAGCTTCAGAGAAGTAGGCGCATGATGGTATTACATACTGCTTGTAAAGGCAAGAGGATCACATTTTAAACACCCTCTTTGGACAGTTTCTCTCTGCTGTTTGGAACCTTTCTCATTCGGTCTAACGCTGGCAGAGTCGTCCGAAATAGATTTTTGCTTAGAATGGCGTTCAGATCTGGCACTGGCTGATTTAAATGGTCAAACAAACTGTGTATTGGCAACAGCTGAAAGACCCCGCTAACAAAGTAGTTTTTGTCAACATTGTTTGACTTCATTTGCCTGAACTGTCGTCGCTTCTCACGTGATTTGACTATTCTGCAAAAGCACATTACAGTGTCGATGCTGAAACCGTATATCGAGCAGCCCCACTATCTGCTTTAGTTACCTGTTTCAACCGCGTATAAATTAGTGACCATTTATTATTACATTCTATACTATTAGAACTAATATTTCACCAGTCATCTTTAACCACCTTTTAGACTTTACTTACAAATAGGTTTTTACACAGAGGTCTTTCCTCCCTGGTGCTTTAGTGGTTATTGTGACGGTACATTCATTGATGATCAAAACTGCACTTATTTGTCTGTGTATTTTATATCAAAACAAAGATTTCAAATGGACTCCGACACACTATTCAACTGGCAAAATACATGACTATATTAGTAGTAGTTTTGTGACAAGAAATGACTCGTGTGTTATGACATAGATGTGGGAATAGTTCCTTTTATGCCTTTAAAAGAATGTGTGGATATGTGACTGTTGTTCTACCCTGCAGACGAGCGCTACATCAATCCTCAGCAGGAGAAGTTCTCTATCCAGCTCATCTCTCCAGTGAGCTGGGAGGCCATTCCCAACACACGGTAAAAGCTGTTCTCTCTCTTCACAGAGCACACCTTTGAAGAGCACACATGCTGCTCGCAAAAATCAATAGAAATGCTTTGTTTTAATACAGATTGGGTGAACTAAGTGGTTTGGGCTTTGGGCTGCTTTTAGAGAATTGTGGGGTTTAATTGAAAAGCCTGGGCCATTTATTCAAGTTGTAGACAATTAATTTAGTCTCACTTGGCTGCCTACTTTTATTTTATTCAGGGTCAGTTGGAAATATTGAGTCGTTTATCTAAATCCCTGGTCATTTGCTCCTCTGCGTTATCATTAACTACCACTGTGAGCACTGAAATGTAGAAGTAAGCTTGGCTTGCAGCGCTTCTGCATAATGTGTTGAGATACTGGGTGTGTGTGTACGCATATACGACTTCACTGTCAAACACATTAAACATAAAGAGATGGTTTAGCGCTGGGATAACTTAGCCCTGCTTTTAACTGACAAGTAATATTAGTCTGGGACAACTTTGACTTTCTGCCAGCATAAAGTCTCCAAATTAACAAGCATACTTAATCTACCAAAGCTGTTTTTAAAGTAAACAGAACTTGTATACAGATGTAGCTTAACTGAAATGTGTAGCTTGTTTCTACCACTTGAAACACTTTCAAGTTTTGTTCAAACTTTCATTAGATGCGGGCATTGGTGTAACATCTTCCAAGACTGCTAGAGTCAATCGGGGGGATATCTCAAGAACTAGAGATCAGAACTGAATGAAATTTGGTGATCGCTAAGAAGCGAGCCAAAACATAGGTGTCAAGTGTTTTGGTGTGGCTCCAGTTAATTATAAAAAGACCCTTCTGTCAACAGCATGATCAGGATATTTGATGTCTATGATGCCTGTTTTATTTCCCCTCTTTTTAAACATGCATTCATTTCCATTAATCCATTAACATCGTGTTGGCTTGATGTCAGAACCCCAGTAACTTTGCTATAAAAGTCATGACAGTCTTACTGCAAAAATACATCAAAGACACATAAACATCATTTTTACAGTGATGAGATAGAATCTACAACACAACGATCTTCCTGCTTTCGAAAGTCCCGTTAACAGAACCGTTACCGTTGGAGCTCATCAATCCTCCGGTATTTAAACATGTAGCCCGGAGGCTCCTTTAATACCGGGGCTCTGTGCCCATCCCTAAAATCAATGAAGTGTGCAAAATTTTAGGGGTCTAAGTATTTTGGGAAGTGACTGTCCTACTTAACTTCACCTTTAATGATGATTAATAGCAATGACATTCTGTTTAACTCCAATAATCGAACACAGGAACTTCTAAGAGTCAGTGTGCCCTGACTTTACTCTGACTTCTGTCTCGTTTAGGATCGACCTGGAGGAGTGGGAACACGTGACCTGTATGAAGACAGTGGCCCTGAGGAGTCAGGAGACAGTGTCTGGCCTAAAGGGCTACATCGCAGCAGGAACCTGCCTGATGCAGGGAGAGGAGGTCACCTGCAGGGGCCGGGTGAGACATGAAAACATCTGCACCTTTAAAGCCTCATTTCCAACCTACAAAAAAAGAACTGAGGCTATTTGACTGCAATCATTGAAATGTTTGTTTGTTGTATTCAGATCGTTATCCTGGATGTGATTGAAGTGGTGCCAGAGCCAGGACAGCCTCTCACCAAGAACAAGTTCAAGGTGCTGTATGAGAAGGAACAGAAGGGGCCGGTGACGGCGCTGTGCCACTGCAACGGATACCTGGTGTCGGCCATTGGACAGAAGGTCTCAACCGCACTCGCATCACAACTCTGCTGCAATGAGTCTCAAACTGGATGTAGTTAGTGAACACTTGGCAGTGTTTTATGAGTAGAGTGAGTCCTAGAGGGGGGCACACAGTTGCTATGGATTACATGTGTCATAAACAACGTCTGCAGTGAATGAATGATTAGTTTACATCAGTAAAATACATTTTTATTAACACACAGAAATGGAAAACGGCAGACACCCACATTTATTGGCATGCAGTGTTTTTTTTCAGTTGACCAAGTAAATCATGCACTGATGACCTGTTTTTGGTCACATCATTCTGTCTTTAGCCAAAAGTATTTTTGTACAAGTGATTCTTTTTGCCACTGGGTCTTTTCAGTGTTTCTCTCCTGTTGTGACTAATACACATGCACACTGTGCAGTGTTGAGGCTGAAATGATTTGTCACACATTACGTGTCAACATTAAATAAAAAAAACTATTGACAGATATCTTATTATCTTATATAAATATGCAAATAAGGGTTTCCCATTCTCCATGTTGCTACAGATCTTCCTGTGGGTCCTGAAGGACAACGACCTGACGGGCATGGCCTTCATCGACACGCAGCTCTACATCCACCAGATGTTCAGCATCAAGAATTTCATCCTGGCAGCTGACCTGATGAAGAGCATCTCACTGCTCCGCTACCAGGAGGAGAGCAAGACGCTGTCTCTCGTGAGCAGGGTGAGGAAGCCGTGCTGCTGCTGCTGCTGCTGATGAGGATGATGATGATGATCAAACTTCAATTTATATTAAATAAGCTATTTGAGTTTTCCCTCTTAGATTTGCTAACAATCAGACTTCAGTGCTGTATCTGTAGGCGGCAGCACACAGTGAAGGGTGTATTGATGAAGATGTACAAATTTGTATTGAGTGAGTCCTGTGAGTGTCTGGATTCAGTCCGGTTCATTTCTAGAGAACGGCTCTGGCAGCAGGAAATCATTCAGGGACTGTTGCTGAATTTAACAGTTTTCTTATTGTTTTGGCTGCAGGATGCCAAGCCCTTAGAGGTCTACAGCATTGAATTTATGGTGGATAACAACCAGCTGGGATTCCTAGGTAACCTTTGTCATGATCATTAGAGAAAATTTCAGTTGCATTTGCAAATTCTGTTCTCATTGAGCTTTTTATTTGCTCTTCTTTTCAGTGTCTGATCGAGACAAGAACCTCTATGTATATATGTATTTACCTGAAGGTACGTGATGTCACTGGAACTGCAAATGCAACGTAGCCTGTTATTAAATGCACATCGACTTATGACATTTGTGGTGTGTGTTTGCAGCTAAAGAGAGCTTTGGAGGAATGCGTCTGCTGAGGCGAGCTGACTTCAACGCCGGAGCTCACATCAACACTTTCTGGCGAATGCCGTGTAGAGGAGCACTGGACACCGGCAGTAAGAAGTCTCTGACCTGGGACAACAAGCACATCACGTGGTTTGGTAAGCAGCCAAGAGTCCTGTGTCACACATCGTAGTTAACAGGTTTATTGGAACCTGGTGGTGTTTTTCGGTCATCTGATGGTAAGATCAAATGAAAATGTTTTTGAGTGGCTGGAGATGACTTTGGCTGCTTTTAGTTTTTGGTGGTTATCTTGGGTGAAAAGTTTAGCTTTCTAGTGTTAGACCCGATTCTTTAGTTGGAAGCCCAAAAACAAGCCGGAGAAATCTTCAGTTCTCAGATGCAGAATTTATTTAGGTCACAGGTGAAGTTTTGCAGCGCTGGAATTCAGAGGGACAGAGAGGAATCTCATGTCCAGCTGAACTGAGTGTTTTCAGCTCCAGGTAACAGATATCTTCTTGGGCTGGGCCTGCCCCGAACATAGATAAGATTTAATTGGCCAGTTACTAATGGCGTGGACAGGCATACTTCTGCGCTCTGTCCACGTCCTTGACATTTTTGGTAAGCAACGTGTGTTGTTGGTACGGCGTGTAGCTAAAGTAACAATCGTATCTAATAGAAGAGAGGAGTTTCTGCTGCCTCTAAGTGTGTGAACCGGTTCTCACCGGCCATATTATCTTCAAGGACATAAGCTGTTCTCAGTAGGAAAATACGAAACAGAATCATAGGCTCAGTGCTAAATACAGATTCAGAATACATAATAGCTCGAAACATACTTAATTCTAACACAAGTAATGATGGAATTGGTCTGTTTGTGGTCTTAATTTGGTGGACTTGCCGCACAATGGAAAGTAAGTCTTGCAACCACAATCAGAGAACATAAGAGTGAGGCTCTGAGGGGCCTCGGCACCACAGGACTAACTTCACTGTACGTCTTCATGCCAGTTGGGAGTGTTGAAACCTGATTTGATCTTAGTCTTGTAGTTGCAATACTAGTACACTTCTACATAATGGAAAATAAATTGTATATTGTGTATCCACTGCAGGAGTTTTCTCTCAGATCCACACATGTAGCCATTGTGTGTTTACCCTGGTAGATAAAGTCACTTTATTTCAGCTGAGATACATCTTAGATTATTTCACTCTTTTCAAACATATTTTTGCTGAACACTTGTTCACTTGTTGGCACCAGGCAGCTAACTGAAGCAGTGAGGAGTAAGAAATGACAATTTTATTTAATAGCAGAACATTAATGTGCACCTTTACCCCTCTTTACAGTCATTTACATAATGTGTTCAGTAATTGCCAAGATGTGAGGAAACTGACAAAAAGGGTACAACTTCATTATTCAAGCAGAAAACGTTTGTGTGCACCTAAATAAAAACATGAAGCACTCGAGTTCAAGCAATGGAAGAAGTTGGTCTGGTGTCCTGATCAACAAGTCCCTGTTGTATGTGTTCTACAAATAAAAGTCTAATTAACTGACTTAAATGCCCTAAATGTTAAACATGGACCAAACCTTGTGTTCCCACAGCAACCCTCGATGGAGGAGTTGGTTTGCTACTCCCCATGCAGGAGAAAACTTACCGCCGTCTGCTGATGTTGCAAAACGCTCTTACAACCATGCTGCCTCATCACGCTGGTCTGAACCCAAAGGCCTTCAGGTTTGCGGCCTCCTCCAGTACGTTTCCACAGGGTTTAACTGTAGAGAACGTTGACCTGACCAACCTGTTCCTCTGTTGCATCCAGAATGCTGCACAGCGACAGACGGAGCCTGCAGAACGCTGTGAGGAACATCCTGGACGGAGAGCTCCTCACAAAGTACCTGTACCTCAGCACCATGGAGCGCAGCGAGCTGGCCAAGAAGATCGGTACCACTCAGGACATTGTGAGTGCACAGAGCAGCAGAGCACAACATCCACTTAGTTCAGTTTTGTCGTTCTCTCATCATGCCCTTCTTCTCTCACCAGATCCTGGATGACCTTCTGGAAATCGACAGAGTAACGGCTCATTTCTGAGCACCACATTCCCGAGTCTTCTCCACTGAATGATGTTTTATAGTGAATGGAGGAAAGGTTTTGTTATGGCCATGTTTGTGCAAACCTTGTTTTTCTTACGTGTTAGACAAAAGGAGGCCCACCATGTTTTCTTAAAATATTTTGTATAGTAAAAAAAAAAAAAAAGAGAGAAACACAAAACTGGTGTGAGTTTTAATTTGTTCACATTGAGCTTAAGGGGACGTCACCGGTGACCAGAGCAGTGCTCAAAGAGTAGCTGTTAATATGAGACCTCCCCGGTTGATTAATTATGTTAGGACCTGGTCTTCATTGTCTGAAATTGTATGTGTAAATATGCAAATGAGGCATTATCTCATGAGATATGCACCAACTTGTGCGAACGTCCAGTAAAGTCGGTGTATTCACTTAAACATGTTTCAATATGATATTATGGAAGTGTAACTACACTTTGTAGTTCAGTTGCACTTGTTTATTTAGGGGCATCACTAAATAAATCATACTGAGGAATTATTTTAAATGAAATCTCAGAGACTTTAGTTGAATGGAGTTGGTCAGTCTGTTGAAAGTCCTAAGTTCTGATTAAATTGACCTCCGTTCCCACACAAAGAAAGACACAAAACTCTGAATTGGTCTAAAAGAGAAGTGTTTAACTATTCTACTACTACACTGCTCAAAAAAATAAAGGGAACACCTAAACAACACAATGGAACTCCAAGTCAATCACACTTCTGTGAAATCACACTGATTGTGAATCAATTTCACCTGCTGCTGTTGTTGTAAATGGAACAGACAACAGGTGGAGGTGAGAGACAATTAGCAAGACAACCCCTATAAAGGAGAGGTTCTGCAGGTGGTGACCACAGACCTTTATCTGTTCTCATCCTTTCTGAATGATATTTTGGTCACTTTTGCATGTTGTCAGTGCTCTCACTCCTAGAGGTAGCATGAGGCATGTCTACAACCCACAGAAGTTGCTCAGGTAGTGCAGCTCATCCAGGATGGCACATCAATACGAGCTGAGGCAAGAAGGTTTGCTGTGTCTCTCAGCACAGTGTCCAGAGCCTGGACAAGATACCAGGAGACGTGGAGGGGGCCGTAGGAGGGCAACAACCCAGCAGCAGGATCGCTATCTCCTCCTTTGTGCAAGGAGGAGCTCTGCAAAATGACCTCCAGCAGGCCACTAGTATTTATGTTTCTGCTCAAGACTGTCAGAAACAGACTCCATGAGGACAGTATGAGGGCCCAACATCCACCAGTGGGGCTTGTGCTTACAGCCCAACACCATGCAGAGCGATTGGCATTTGCTGGAGAACACCAAGGTTGGCAGAGTCGCCATTGGCACCCTGTGAGCTTTTTACGGATGAGAGCAGGTTCACACTGAGCACATGTGATGGACGTGACAGTCTGGAGACGCTGCAATTCTCTTTTGTGAGATTAATGGTGGTTCCTCCTGAGAAGGAGTGGGTTTTCCCGTATAGTGTCCAAGGTGGCGCTTTTATGGTGGGAGCAGGTCCAGAACTTTAACAAAAAGACTGCTTGTTATCTGGTGTCCCCCCTTGGTTTGGCTTTCGAGAGAGCGCCACAAAATATCCCAGAATCTCGACTCACAATTGTCGGAAAAAAATAGGGTTTTTGGAAAGTTGTTTCTTCCCTTAAAGCAATAAGAAAGAACGCCTCAAAGAGTGGAGGTAGAAAATTTTATTACCATGTTAAAATAACTTAAAAACATTTGGTTAGGTGGCACTGGGCGGTTCTTTCAACCTGCACACAGGTTATATGGGCTTCAGCTGAACTCAAGACACATGAGACACAACAGACTTGACAGCGATTTACAATTTGAACATAAATGGTAGCGTCTCATTGAAATATTTCTGGAGCATGGACTGGTCAGTTATGGTGAAGATGCATATGTGTAGTTTGGTTTATGGCCAATAGCTACACACACAACACAGTGATTCAGCCTGATACACTGTCCAGCTGGGGCAGCTTCTCTAAAATGCTGTCTAAAAGAATAAATAGGCAAATGTCAGCAATTCCTCAAAAACATAAATTACAGCTTAAAATGTGTAAAATTAAAATTTCTAAATGGATTACATTAAAACACCAGTCCATAAATGACAAGAAGGATAATTGGCTGTTATGTTCTGGCGTCTGCTCTGTTGTGGATTTGGTGCCGTACAGTCCTGGAGTCGAGGACGTTGTCGCCCATCCTGACACTGAATATGATTTGGTGAGGGAACATTGCACACACACAAGCAGCACCGTAACCAGCAGTGAAAGGCTCCTTGCTCCTGAGCTACAGTCACCTGTGGTTGGAATATGTCCTTTTTCGCTGTCCGTGCACTATGTCAGGTACTCGTACATGTCGGCGTCCACGGATGTGAGACCCAAATAGTCCAGCAGCCTCAGGAAGGCACGCGTCAGACTCATCATTGCCATCTCGGATCTGTGGAAACGAGCCGTGTCGTTCATATATGATGATTCTGAGCACCAAACGCAAAGAAAATATTATCTGCACTACATGAATGCTCACCTCAGAGCCACTTCGAACTTGAGGCTCTCCCACGTTGTCCTCCCCCAGCGGAACACCCACAGCCTGGGCAGTATCCCCGTCTTCTCAGCCTGAATCTTCCCCCAGCCTCGCACAGCACTAAAAAAATAAAAATAAAAAAATACTCGCCCGTCATATAAATTCAGCCAACACATAAACATGCTTGTTGACATTCCCCATTCTCTCACTAACAGGGGGCTCACACTGCAAACATGCACAAGTGGTTCTTCTACAGTCCACTACGAGATCCTTGGAAATTCAGAGCAACATTTGAATTTAAGCTAGACAAAGTTTCTGGAAAACTACAGGAAAACTAGCAGGTTTTGCTTTTTCCAGCAGAACTTAAGAAATGCTGACTGAGGGTCTCTGAAGCAGCCTTCACCACTTGGAGAAATCTGATCAGAAGCCAAAAATGTGGATTGTTTTTTTCTTGTTGCATATTTTATTTGGCAAACAGAGCTATCTTATTAAGAAATACCCACAGAAACATGATGCTCTTGTGGGTATTTCTTATTCGTTCCAAAAATCAATTTTTATTAATTAATTTATTTTAAAAAACTAATAAAAAATAGACAAATAAGCCAGTTAATGTTAAATATTTCCTTTGACTACAGTCAGTCAGCAGTTCCTGTTTATAATGTACCCAAAGAACTGCAGACAACCATCACTGGACACTTTGATACTAAAGACAACATAAAAATGTAGATTTACAGACATTTATTGGATTTTTGATGCTTGTTTTGGCTCCTCCAGCTGAACATCTATCGCAGACCCTTTTCTGAACAATGACTTTAATAACACTAATTGGGACTTGTGTTGAACCTGCTTTATGAATCAGTCCCCTGGAGTCTGAACTATGATCCTGTTGTGCTCTGGGAGGGCTGACTTGCCCAAACCCTCTACCCCTCTCAGCACACGGTGACAGGCACTGACCTCTTGGCCATGACAAAGTAGCGGTCCACCGGCGCTCCCAGCGTGATGTTGATGCTCCGGACCGTGTTGATGTTACGGAAGACCAGCAGCATGGGCCGTGGCATCGCTTTTAGCACCTGCATGATGTTTTCGAAGCGGTGGATGGCCATTTGCCGCATGTAGGCCGTCTCCTCTTTGCTCAGGATGTTGGACAGACCAAAGCTGCGCATGTTGATGGGTCGCTGCAGCAGCATCTCGCAGAAGAGGAAGTACTCTGCTCAGCAAACCAGAAAAGAAGCATAAGAAGTTCATTATTGGAAAACAGCAGCATTGCTTTGTTTGACACAATCATAGAAAAATAATCATGTAGTTTTTGTAATACTCACTAAAAAAAAAAGGTGGGAGCAACAAACATCCTCATTGAATTTTAATGTCCATAGGAGTTTGTTACATATCACGGAGCAAAATCTGACATTTACTGGCTCACCACATTCAAGAAGAAAGTTAAGTTTCCTCACGTTTGACCCCGAGAGCGTCGGACTGCTTCTTCATTTCCTGCTCGTCCCTCAGCACGATGGACCTCCACAGTCTACAGAGGGACTCTCTGTCTCTAGGGTCAAATGTCACAGTCAGAGCTGATCGATAAATATTCTTACAGGGTTCTATTACATCATCTCATCCGGCGCTTACTGTTCAGTGAGGTATTCGTACAAGCCGTGGTCCAAAAGCACCAACTCAGCCTTGTTGTCGGGACCTCGTCTCACCAGAACTGTCAAAGCAAAATACACGAATGAGGAGAAATGAAACCGCGAGCCTCATGGTAGATCGTAGATCTCTGTATATATATGGCATCAAACACCAGGACTGTAGACTGAAAATGAGCATCTAGCTCCTGTTAATCTAAACATTTCTTTTGAACCATCTTGTAATTCTTTCAACAGTTTATTTTTTCCCCTCTTTTCTAACACTGTGTTGGTTTCTATTCACACAATGATGTTGTTTTGGTGGTCTTTTAAATTCAGATGGTTTGAAGACTTGTCCGTTTTATTTTGCTGTAATTATAATAATAATCGGATTAGTTCCTTCAGTGTGTTACGTATCAAACCCCAGGAGTTTGAATCTGTCAGAATTTTGTCAAAGTTCCAGAAGATCTATCATAAGTTCATAAAAGAACCAAAATTGATTGTTTTGTGCGACAAAGACAGAAAATTAAAGCCTGTAGGAGTCATTGGAAGTCAAGACTGACATGACCTGCATGGTCTTTACAGTGTCTGTAAACTTTTGTTCACAACTATACTTATAATCGATGTGTAAAATGATGAAGGACATTCACCTTCATGAACACTTCATGTACAGTCATGTACTCACCATTTCCAGGATGAGGGTCAGCATGGATAAAACCAGTGTAGAATATCTGCTCAGCAAATGTTCTTATCAGTTTATCAGCAACCTGCAACAAACAAGTGTTTGATCAGCTGTTTTAATGGCAGTTTTATGACAATACTCCATTTGAAATACCAAACTGTACACAGAATAGATCGACTCACATCTTTCAATTTTAATCCTTGCCGTTTAATTTCTTCCACGTTGTTGATTTTACAGCCGCTGCAAAACTCTGCCGTCAACACTCTCTTTGAATGGAGAGAAAAAAAAGAAAACGACACTGATGAATAAAGGAGGACGGCATTAAAACGCAGGTATTTTGTACTTCAGCTAACGGCCTCACCTTGCTAGTTTGCTCCCAGAAGACTTTGGGTACGACGACAAATTTAAAGTGTTTCAGCTCCTCAGCGCATCTCTCTGAATTCCTGGCCTCATTCTCAAAGTCCAGCTCTTGAGCCAGTGTGCCCTTCAAGTCCTACAGAAGTGAGACTAAAGTAAAAGCTTTCTATTGAACAGTAACAGAGTAAAACAACCAAGAAATATGACCATTTCCTGACCTTAAGGACCCATCGGAATCCAAAACTGGGGTGCATAAACTTAACGATATCCAACAGGATCTCCAGCGTTCTGACGTCACCATCGAACCGATCCCTGAGATCAATGTACTGCACCTGTGGGGACCGCAATGTGACTTTTTACAGAATTCTAATGAACATATATTACATTTAATTGTACTGAAAGGTTGGAAATGCTAAAGCAAAATAAACAAAATATTGACTCTGGTCTCAGAACGCTCACCTTCACAGCGACGGGAGTTCCATCAAACATTTCTGCCTTGTGAACCTGAGCCAAGCTGGCAGCAGCTATAGGTTCGTAGTCAAATGTTTTAAAAAGCTGCTCCGGAGATTTGTCGAAGTCTTCTTGAAAGAGAGCATCCACCTGTTGCAGACACAAACAGAGTCCTGAGAAAGTTCAGGCTGTCCTCAACCACTCCTCTGTGTGCCTTGTTTGATCTGGAGTTCTCACCTCTTTGTACCTCCTGTTCAAGGCCTTGTCTTCCAGTATTTGCAGGGTGCGGATGTACTCGGGGGGCAGCAGGTGGTTGAAGGCACACAGACCTTGGCCTAGTTTGATGTATATCCCACCGTTCCTTATAGCTCCCTCCACCATGCAGTCTGCTGCCCTCTGGTGGCAGGCTGACATCTCCGTCACGTAGGATGGGCTGCTCTGGCAGGGGAGGACAGAGGTAGGACATGACTGCTCACACAGTGAATCCACAGGAAAGATAATCCTGTGGCCGCTTCTTCAGCTGCAATCAATATTTTTGTAAATCGACAGAGAGCTCAGAGATCGCTGGTGAAACTTTGACTAGTATGACTGAGTATGCGCTGCCATTTTACAGGCTGATAAAAACAGGCAAGTTTGAAAATCATCACTTGCACTTCTCTAATGTTTGGAAAATCTTGAAAGAAGTTGTTGTTTTAGTTTTTTTTTAAGCCAGCTTTGCCCACATTGCTGGATGTTCTCACAGAGTTTTTACAAGATCACATCAGCCAGTGGTTGTTGGTTGGTTGATGCACAAATGAAGGTGAGATGAGACGCTGGCCATCATTGGGCAGGGCAGGTGAAACTCATCGTTTCTGGGTAACACCTGGGTTCCCAGTGCCCCCAATTTTCACTGATGCCGGAAGAAGTGGTGACTCTACAAGCTATACATATTTCATTACTAACATTTTCACAGCCTCTACAAACTCGGCATTTTCATCAACTCTAGAAAAATATGCTTCCACCATGAATACATTGTCCACCAAGCTGCTGAAAACTTGCCCCTCTGTGTCCCATGTTTTACCCCTGATGTCTTATAAGTCTTCATCTATACTTCAGTCTCTCTGATTTGCTTCCATAACTTGTGTCCTCACTGCTCTGTGTGAACACAGCCTGCAGTTCAGCCATATGGTCGCATTTTCATTTTTTGGGAGGGTGAAATTTTTAATGAAACATGTAAAATAACAAGCACATGATGAGCTCACGGACTGTCATGAAGTTGAACATCTGACTAATCTTTCTGTTTTTACAGCTTCTGGCTCAGATAAAGAGTGCGATTTTGTAAAGACAACACATCTTTCAAACCTGCCAGCAGGTTTTGGGCTTGAGACGGTTAAATGTGGACGTAGTGGCTCATATTTTCAGGCAGTCTATCCTGGAAGTCATTCATGGCTCAGTTGTAAGATGAAGCACACAACAAAAAGCTGGTCAAAAAACTGTAGTGTCCAAATGCCTCGGCCACACAGTGTTTTACCAAAATATAAAAACTCATTTTTTTGTTTACAAATATTTGTTTAATTAAAATGCCACATTAGGTTATTCTAAGTCTATCTGAAGTGCTCATTAACAATGTTGAGTTGTGTCAAAATCTGCCCAGCTGTCACATTCAGGAGTGTGACAGCCAAATCTGCCTTGACCCAGTCTGACTACATGGAACTTACCTCATCAGCTCCACGCAGAAGCACATTGGTGGTCCACCAGTAATCCACAGAGATAAAGATTCCCACAGAGACAGATCTGAGGACACAAAGATAAGATGCTCACTGGTATGTCTGAAGGTTTTAAAGGGTCGGCTTCCTCGTGAAAAGGGACCAACACAGTCACTAGTAGGAAATGTGATGGATTCATGGTATTGTCGGTATGTTTTCTTGGACATGTTGGTCAGATCAAAAGGGTTTTTCTGAAAAAAATCCAAGAAATGTATAAACCGAGAGGACAATAAAATGACTTATACATCTAGTCTGGTTGGTACAAAATAGACAGAAGAAGTCAAAGTCCACGTTGTTCACAGAAATATTCAACCTCTCGCTCTCCCACTGCATCATCAGGTGCTTTAAGAAGTCTGTCATTGTTCCTGTCCCCAAGAAAGCCAAGCCCAGCTGTCTTAATGACTACCGGTCCACTGCCCTTATCTCTGTGGTGATGAAATGTTTTGAAAGACTGGTCAGAAGTTTCATCACCTCCTCCCTACCTGCCTCCCTGGACCCCCTACAGTTCTCATACGGCCAAACAGAAGACGCCATAAATCACCTGCTACACACAGCCCTGGCCCACCTGGACACTAGGAAGGGGAATTATGTGTGAATGCTGTTTGTGGACTTCAGTTCAGCGTTCACCCCCATAATCCCCTCCAGACTGGTCACTAAGCTGCAGGACCTCGGACTCTCCTCCTCCCTGTGCAGGTGGGTCTGCAGCAGGGGTGTCAAACTCTGGTCCTCGAGGGCCGCAATCCTGCAAGTTTTAGATGTTTCCTTCTTCCAACGCACCTGATTCACATGATCAGGATGGTTATCAGGCTTCTGCAGAGCTTGATGATGAGCTGATCATTTGAAACATGTTTGTACACAGCCCTGCTCTACAGACAACAGGCAACAAACAAAATGGCTTCACTGATCAACACAACTCTAGTCCAGAGCATCCAGTGCACATATGAGCTTGTGAACACTTGTGCTCATGGGGGACAGGAGATGGTTGGAAAGGGAGCAGTGAGAACGAGAGGACGGTAAGTTCACCAGATTCTCCAGAATCACAAACGCCACTGTTGTCTGTTACACTACGGTTTGAATGTACCATCATCTAGTGAATGTCCCTCTGAGCCACAGTGGTTGTTGTTCTGCAAAAGCTACAAAGTCTCACATTAAATTTGCAGATGACGTGTTTATTTCACCAGATAAAAGAAAACATCACACCCATCTCAGCTCTTTGTGAATACAACAAATGTCCCTGCAACAACCAGCATAAGAAGCATTCTGACCATTTGGTATCTTCCTGACCTTGACAATTTCTCGAACCATCTGTGTGGTATTTTGGTGCCCAGTGCACAGCTGGGATGAGCGGTGGTGCAAGAAGTACCAGCACTTCCCAGAACCAGTCTGTTTATGAAAAAACATCCATCTGCTGCCAGTCTAGTGGATGTGTTTAAACAGCTTCAAAAAGGAACGGCCTTGTGTTCAAGCACACGGAGCTGGCAAATCAGAACGAATTTATCAATGAATGAATGTGACAAATTCTCCTGTTGTCCACAACTACTGTAAGAAAAGTTCCCTTTCAGCTCAGTAAAGCAGCAGCAGGACATTTATGTTGTCAAGTCTGCAGCCTGTGATTGAAGAGGGGCCACCATGTTTACCTTCATTCAGCCAAGGACAGAGGACACGTCCATTCATGTGTTACTCTCGAAATGCACATTTAAAAACACAGTGTGACAGTTTACACTTTGAGATACAGTAGAATGCACTAAAAAAAAACCTTCATTGCTGAACTATTTTTATTTGCTTCGGTCAATATTATACTATGTAGGGGGAAAGCTCCACATCCTCCACCTCTGGCTGCACACTCTGCACCAGCAACATTCATTTGCTGAGCTGTTGCCATGACATCACTTAGACTGCTTCACAGCCATTAGACCATCATGCAATTAGCTGAGAGTGTATTTATTAATTATTACACCCTCTACTTTATATTGGCCTTCAGCCAGCCCTTTGAAACTTCCTCTGCTGTGCACCCATGAACAAAAACAGCAGATGTGCTTGGAGATGCCCACAGTGTGCCGAACACTTTGTACTTGTGTTTGTGTGTGTGTCTTATGTCAGTGCCAAAGAATTTCAATTGAGTGAATGTCGAACTCCCTCCCAGTATATTGTGTCCATTTGCTCTGAGAAACTGAGACTATAAGTCCTATATTGAATCTGTCGATGGAGATTTAAACAGACCTGCAGAACCGACCGAATCCTTCAATCACAATCCTCATCTTCCTCCTCTCTTTAGGGTTGGACACAGCATACTGGACTCCCACTGCCACCGGTACGCCGACAGAGAGGCCGACCAGCGTCTTCCACAGCAGCCCCCTGCGCTTACCTTCCCTGAAAGAAACAAACACAGTTTCTTCCATCAAGACAACAACTTTATCGTGGACAGAATTTGATTTGTGACAACAGCCTGAACTGTTTGGTACCTGAGTGAACTGAAGGATCTGGATGTCTGAACTGGCAAGCCAGGATGTGGATTTCTTCGGAGCAGAACCAGGTGATGCCGGCACAGTCTTAACTAAAGACAAGAAAAGCGCTGCATGACAATCAGAGCTGCAACGATTAATCAGCTCGTTAAGCATTAAATTAATCACCAACCCTTTTGATTAAAAAAAACAAACCCTCTACATTCTATGATTGCCTTAAATGTGAATATTTTCTAGTTTCTACAGTTTAATTTGGCAGAAATTGAATCGTTTCTTTCCTTCTCTGTGACAAGAAACATTATCTTTGGGCTGTGGAACAAAACAAGACATTTGAGGATGTTATCTGGGGCTTTTGGGAAACACTGATTGATATTTTTCACCATTTTCAAAGAATTTATAGCCCAAACCACTTACCTGTCCGTCGAGAACACAATTAACAGATTTTATTGACACTGAAGATAATTGTCTAAAACCAAACCACAGTATTTTATCTTGTTGACTTGTGACCTGTTAACCAGGCAGTGGTGTAACGTGAATAATTTACTGCTCTTGGTCGTGAACTATGAACTCTGACACATCTGGCAGCCACTTATCAATCAAGATCTAAGCTTGCTTCACAGGACAGGCTTGAAAGTGTGTTTTGAGTAAAAGCACTGAAGTGTGTGCTGGGAAGTGGAAGAGGAGGGCTGTGATGTCCAGATCAAGGACACTTTCTTGTTTTTGTTCCCTGCTCCTAAGTGAGGGTCAAAGTGCCTCCACTGGTGAAAAATTGATTTTCAGATAGCAGTGATGTGACCTGAGCACTAAACCATCAAACACGATGTGGGTCACGGAGAAGCCACGAACATCACCACAAACCCAGCTAGCAACGAGCACAACTAGTTAGCTGCTGCTGCTGGTTGGAGTTTGGAGTCAAACCAGGTTCCAGCTGCTAACGCTGAGTGAATTGTCGTGACAAACAGGTGAGTAAACTTGACGACATACATTCTTCCACATGTTAAATCACGCGACCGACCGGTCCAGTTGCTAACACGAGCAGCTCGTCACATTAAGCTACCAGTCAACTAGCTAAAGGTCATCTCGAAACGAGCGAAATAATGGGAAAACGGTTCATTTACCACTCTGAAGGTCTCCCTGGTCATGTTTCCTCTCGTCATGAAACTGCTCACTGCTCTGGATTGTCCGGAGGGTCTCCTGTTCAGCGAGTCGCCTTCACACTGTGACACCTCCTAATTAATGGACCAGTACTAGCATGACTACTATTGGTTAGCCAAAGAGTAGCAGCGCAGAGCGAGAGCGTTCCCTCCCCGCTACGTCTGTTTTCGCTTGAAATGTGTTCAACAGCAAAAATAATCTTTGGCAGCTTTATTTTGTGTCGATATTATTTCTTTACACGTTGCAATATATGGAGCCTGGATTCTAGGATCAAAACAATGTCAAAGCATCAACAGTTTTTCATATTTTTTTTCATAAATTAACTCATTTTAATGACGCAATTAAATACTCCCAATAAAAACAGATCCTGAAAAAGAATTATGATTGATGTTACAAAAGTAAATTTGTATATTTTGTGTTAGTGTTATTTATGGTCATTTACAGCTAGTCAAATGGAAAAGTGTGCCTTGTGACCAAATCGTTTGGGAACCCCTAAGTTACACCAGGGCTGTTAATTTTTGGCTTCTTGCTGGAATTAATTTGTTTATAAATGTTAATATTGATTATAGTTCATGGTGATTTGCGTGACCGACCTATGAAATAGTTCAGGAGAATAGGTGTGGGTGCTGGAGATGGGAGAACGCTCGCCCTTAAAGTCCTCTCACAAAACATCCCAAATAATAGAATAATAACATTAACTAGCCTGAGTTGTGTTTTGCTTCCATAAATTGACTTCACCAAAGCTATAAAAAATATGATTTCAGTTTCTTCATTTAAAGGAAGGAAGGGTTGTTATCAAAGGTCATTTTGGGGTTCTTTTTATTTATTTGTTTTTAAATCTATTTATTTATTTAGTTTGTTTAAGTTGTTCCAATGTTAATGTAGCACACAGGCTTGAAATCCATTAACTCAATAAACTCATAAATTTGAGTTTCAATTAAACACAATATTACATTGATGCAATTCCCATCATTGTTTTGTGAACCCAACCAATCAAAAATAATGTTTGCACTTAAAAGGCTTATCTGAATGAGTAAATCTTTCCCCCCTTCAACAATCCATTTAATTAAGTGGTGGGCACAGGTCTGTTGAATTACTTTCAGAGTGTCGTCAGTTTCTTACAACCATGTCCTCTCCACTCTCAATTTAAAAGAATGGATATAAGAATATGTATATCTTGTTTAGGAAGCTTAACCTGCTAGACACTCCTACTACACTGAGAAGTCTGCTCACATGTGCTGCAGAAACTCTTTATCTACAGTCAATCGCTGGCTTCCAGACCGAAGGATTCCCAGGTCAGCAGGGGAGCACATCCAGCCTGTGAAGCCTGGTGCAGGCTGGACTGGACACAGAGGCTCTTGACAGTGGACTCTTTGGTGGGAGGTACTGAGCTGACACGTCATTGATCATATGGAGTGGTCTGAGGCTTGCCCTTGTCCTGTTGTGGATTTACTTATCATTCATTCCTTGTCCTCTCTCTTTGCATCCTAGCTTCAGCCTGTTAAGTTCATCATTGTCAGGCATGTATCACATAGAGCAAAGAAATAAAATAAAAACTACATGACCTTGAGAGTCGGTAATGCGACCTATTGCCCACAATGTGACCTCACAAGTTAGTTTGTTCCTTCAGTTCAACAGAGTTTACAGAATCCCCCTAAATGCACTTTTATGACACTGTGTATTTTGAAAAAAGAAAAAAAACAAAACAACTCTGGATGGAAATAATAAATCCACAGGCAGATGAGCCTGCCACTGCCAAGTGGACCACATGAGACACGACTGTTATTCATAAGTTGCATCATCTTACATCAGAGGGGTGTACTCGGAAACAAGACTGACATAGCCAGACTTTCATTAGCCTTTAGATATTATGGAACATTGCTGGAAGAAAATAGCACATGTTTTGTTAGAGACGCCCCCTACCCCTAGTATCACTCATTGTTCCATTACCATTGTTAGTGATAATTCCTTTACCTTTTGTAACTGTCTGCCAGACTCCTCATTCTCTTACCTTTTGTTGTCTATCAGACTGCTTGAGTCAATCACTTTTTGTTGTTTGTTCTCTACCCCCTGTCATTGATTAGCAACTATATAATATCACTAACTCACTACCCACTGCTCACTTCGGTATTTACATACAGGCCCTCTCTACCCTTTGACTTACCCTACAAGATGTGTAACTGCAAATGTTCTGGGTCCGTCTGCCTTCACAGACTCACACTCTGTTTTTTTTTTTTCTGCTTACATGAGAGCCATATAAGAGGTCATGCACGAGTTTGAACAGAAAAATAACAAATATATTTCTTCTGTAACATGTGAAAACGTAAGAGTAGAACTTTTGAGGGAAGATTTCCACCTAGATATGAATAAAACAAAGCCCCCCGCTGACACCTAGTTAATGTTAAACTTCTAACATATTAGGGTTACTGTCATCTAATGCAGCAACATAAAAGCTAACAATTATTTTCAAAGTGTATTACTAGCTGTCTAAATGTTAACTAGCTGGCTTTATGTCAGCTGATAATGTTTTATTAGCTTGTTAGCTCATGTCTGCTGAGCATCCCTACTGCTGGGGATGCAGCATTATTCTTATGTTAGAAATTTAACCTTTACAGATTGATCATTATTTCTGCCTTCACTGTGTGGTTCGGGTCTTTTTTGACCTGGACCACTCTGTGAAGAACTCTTGTCAAAAATTTCCTCATGTCTGTACCAAATTTGAAACTACAGATCTCCTTTGAATGTCTAAATAGCCGATGTCACATTATTAAATGTAAAAAAAATAAGCACACATAAAAGATGGCCTGTAGAATTTCACAGTTTCAAGATTTCCTAAAACCACCATTTTCCTTGATTTGACCCTCAGTGGTAGATCTAAAACCCATCTCAAGGGATCAAATCTGAAAACTTGTAGCACCACATAATAAAATGTTTTTTTAAAAAAATGATTATTATTTTTTATTTATTGTATTTTGGGTCAATTTAGGAAAAGCCATCAAATTTCAGGCTAAAATAATGACATGCAGGGTATTTATTTATTTATTTTTTACTGCTGTCAAATGTCAAAACAGGTTGAATTTA